GCAGGTCGAAGCTGCAGTGGCTGGGAGTGGCCACTGCACTCCAGTCTGGGTGACAGAGTGAGACTCCAACTCAAAATAAAATAAATAAATAAAATAAAATAAGTAAAATAAATAAATAAAAGTGCCTCTGGGAAGGGCAGTTTCCAGTAACTGGTTGTGAGCGATTAATGCTATAGATTGTATGCCAGAAAAAATAAAACATGAGAAATGATGGAGAGGAGGAGTAAAAGAAGAGAGAGGAACAAGACAGGCATGGTGGCTAGTGTCTGAAATCCCAGCTACTCAGGAGGCTGAGGTGGGAGGATCACTTGAGGCTGGGGCCTGGTCTCGAACTCCTGGCCTTAAGTGATCCTCCCGCCTCGGCCTCCCAAAGTCCTGGGATTACAGGCATGAGCCACCATGCCTGGCCTCTATCTAAAACAATTTTAAAAACATGCCTGCAGTCCAGGCTCGGCTCAGTCTGTAATCCCAGCACTTTGGGAGGTCAAGGTGAGGGGATCGCCTGAGCCCACAGGATCGAGAACAGCCTGGGCAACTTGGTGAGACCTCGACCCTACAATAAATAAAAAATTAGCTGGGCGTGATCGTGCGCACCTGTAGTTCTGGCTACTTGGAAGACTGAGGCAGAAGGATTGCCAGAGTCCACCAGATCGATGCTGGGGTGGCCGTGAGTATGTCTCTGCCCTCCAGCCTGGGCAACAGAGTGAGACTCCAGTTCAAAAAACAACAACAACAAAAATACCAGCAGTCCCAGTATATGGGAGGATCACTTGAGCCTTGAGTTTGAGGCTGCCGTGAGCTATGATTGTGCCAATGATCTCCAACCTGGAAAACAGAGCGAGATGCCATCTCACTGTTTTATTTTTGAGTCAGAGTCTCACTCTGTCTCCCAGGTTGGAGTATAGTGACACGCTGATGGCCACTGCAGCCTTGACCTGCTGGACTCAGGCAATCCTTCCACCTCAGCCTTTCAAGTAGCTGGAACTACAGGTGTGTGTCACAATCCCCGTCTAATTTTTTGATTTATTGTGGAGACGAGGTCCTGCTAAATTGTCCAGGCTGGTCTCCAATCCTTGGGCTCAGGCAATCCTCTCGGCTCTGCCTCCCAAAGTGCTAGGATTACAGGCATGAGCCACCACACCCAGCCTGATGCCATCTCTTTAAAAAAAATTTTTTTTTAGCCGGGCTCGGTGGCTCAGCCTGTAATCCTGCACTTTGGGAGGATGAGGTGAGTGGATTGCCTGAGCCGGCGGGTTCGAGACCCGTCTGGGCAGCGAGACCTCATCTCTACAATAAATCAAAAAATCAGCTGGGCATGGTAATGCATGCCTGTAATTCCGGCTACTTGGAAGGCTGAGGCGGAAGGATTGCCGGAGCCCAGCAGGTTGAGGCTGCGGTGGCCGGGAGCGGCCACTGCACTCCAGACTGGGTGACGGAGTGAGACTCTGACTCAAAAAAAAAAAAAACACAAAAAACTTTTGTGTGCCTAGACGGCCTCCCCCAGGTTCTGTGACAACACCAGTGACTATCTGTCAAGTTTCCTCCTATTCACCATGCCTGTTTGGCACAAAGCAGAGCCCAACACATAGTCATTGACAAAATTAACAAAGGAAATAGATAAGCAATTGATAACAAAAATGGCCCAAGCAAATAACTTTTGAGGCCTTACTTTTTTTTTTTTTTAGTTGGAGTCTCGCTCTGTCACCCAAACTAGAGTGCAGTGGCACACTCACGGCCACCACATCCTTGTCCTGCTGGGCTCAGGCAATCCGTCAGCCTCAGCCTTCCAAGTAGCTGGAACCACAGGCATGTGCTACCACGCCCAGCTAATTTTTTGATTTCTTGTAGAGATAAGGTCTCGCCAAGCTGCCCAGGGTGGTCTCGAACCTGTGGGCTCAGGCAATTCTCTCACCTCGGCCTCCCAAAATGTTGGGATTACAGGCGTGAGCCACTGCACCTGGCTGGGGCCTTATTTTCATAATCCCTAGTAAGAGAGGTTTGGCTTAGAAGAGCCACCTGGGTTCCAACCTCCCCCAACCCTGCCGCTTACTAGCTACGTGGGACCTCGGGCAGGTGGCTGCAACTCTTTGTGCCTCAGTTTCCTCATCTATATAATGGGGATGATAGTACCTGTCACTCAAGGTTCTTTCAAAGATAAGCCGAGTTAATAATTGCAAAGCGCTTAGAACCGTGCCTGGCACAAAGTGCCATGTAAGTTAAAAAAGTAAGTTTCCAGAATCTTCACCGTGGACTTTCTCGGGCCAGGGTAGAGTGGGCGTGGAAGACAGGTGGGGAGAGGAGCCCAGAGACTGCAGGGCCGCCGACCTCTCGTGCGTGCTCACCGAAACTGTTGGACTACGTTATCCACAATGCCTCCCGTGGGCCCGCCTACGCGGTCTCGTTCGACGCCGGACCGCGGGTTCGACCAAGGGTGAGAAGACTACGTTACCCACAATGCCACGCGTGGGCCCGCCCATGCGGCCTTGTTTCCACGCCCCGACAGCCAGGTTAGCCAATAGCGCACGAGGACTGCGTTACCCACAATGCCTCGCGCAGGCCCTCCCACACGGCCTAGTTCCCACGCCCGGTTGGGCTGTTCGGTCCCGCAAATCGGTGTCCCGGGCCAGCCAGCCTGCCCAGTGCTCGCGGCTCCGGTCCTCCCAGGCCTGCTGCTCCGGCCGCACCCCGAGCTCTTTACAGCCCGCAGCGCTGCCAGTGAGTGCGGGCTCGGGGGCGCGAACCCTGGCTCAAGCTTTCTTTCCGCGGTCCGCGCCAGCGCCTGGGCCTGTGCTCTGGCCCCGGGCACCGCTCACGCTCCACCTGCGGGAGTGAGACGGCAAAGAAGCCGGCTGGAGAGTCCCCGCCCTGCTAGGACCCTGGAATTGGAAGGGCCATAGTGACCGTCCACTCGCGGGTACCCGACGGGACCGCGGAGGGGCTTCAGGGCTCGAGGAACCCAGACATCAGGGTCAAGTTGGGGCGGAATCTGCATCTTCCTGGTAGAAGTTGCCCCGGTTTTCATCAGATTTCCAAAGGAACCCCTTCCATATAGGGCCAACTGTGATCATGGAAAACCACGTTTCTCGAGCTCTGTCCACTTCCTGGGCGCCGCACTAAACCCTTCCCAAGCATCCCTTTGAGTCCTACCAGCAGCCTTTGTGTAGGCCGCGTTATCAGCTCTGTTTTTCCAATGAGAAAACAAGCCTAGAGATGTTAAGTAACTTGCCCGGGAATTGGCAGATGATGGTTAGTACATGCGTTAGTAGGTGGTTAGCTGGGTTGATCTACTTCAACCCTTTTCCTTTTACTGATGAGGATGAGTTGGCCCTGGAACCAGGGGGCTTTCAGGTGCAAAGGACTTGTCCAGACCCAGTGCTGCCCTCCAGATGATTTTCTCATCTTTCCACAGAACCCTGAAAAAAACATCTATTCCTGTGCCTGGCCAGAGGTATAGGGAGAGACAGATTTGACGCCAAGGCCTGAGAAGCACCAAGGCCCGCTGGGAACAATGGCCACCACCCCTGGCCTCCAACCCCTGCCACCACTGGAGCAGGACCTGGAGCAGGATGAGATCCTGATCGTGAAGGTGGAGGAAGATTTCTGGGAAGAGGAGCCCTCTCTGGAGACAGAAGACCCCAGCCCCGAGACTTTCCGCCAGCTCTTCCGGCTCTTCTGCTACCAGGAGGTAGCTGGACCCCGGGAGGCCCTGAGCCGGCTCTGGGGGCTCTGCTGCCGCTGGCTGCGGCCGGAGCTGCGCACCAAGGAGCAGATTCTGGAGCTGCTAGTGCTGGAGCAATTCCTGAGCGTGCTCCCGGGGGAGATCCAAGCGCGGGTGCGCGAGCAGCAGCCGGAGAGCGGTGAGGAGGCCGTGGTCCTCGTGGAAGGGCTGCAGCGGGAGCCCAGGAGACAGAGGCAGAGGGTGAGGTGGGGGTCATTTTGGCCCTGAGGTGAGGAATTGGGCCCCTGCTGAGGTCTGCAGCTGGAGAGTCCTTGGTCATTGGGTGTCCAGGCTGCTAACTGAGAAAGGCTACTACAAAGTGTTTCTCAGCCTTGGCCAATGGGTGTCCACCCTTTGATTAACCACATCCCGCCCCATGAGTCCTTTATAAGCTATGGGGATTGGTTCCCCATCCCAGCACAGACCAAGCACAGGTTTTGATGGGAGGGAAGTGCAATGTTTTCCAAGGCAGGGCTTTGGGAGTTGATGTGACCCCCAAAGTGGGGGAACTCTGGGAAAAAAAGACCAGTGACTGGGAGAAGGCCTGGTTGGAGCCCTCAGAGGGTCCTCCATTTCTCTAGAACTCCAAAACAGTAACTGCCAGCCTCATGTAACTTTTTAAATTAGAACTAAGTAAAATTTTAAATGTGAGCTGGCCATCTTTCATGGGCTTGGTTGTCACACATGGCTAGTGGCTGCTGTACTAGACAGGATAGACAGGACACCTCCGTCATCGAGGATATTGCCTCTCTAGTGCCCAATCTGACTCCTTCCATCCACATTTGTTGATGTTGTTATTATTATTATTTTGTAGAGATGGAGTCTTGCTATGTTGCCCAGGCTGATCTTGAATTCCTGGCCTCAAACAAGGTTCCCAAAGTGCTGGAATTACAGGCACGAGTCCCTGCACCCAGCCTTTCCAGCCACATTTGGAGAAATGTGGGAAACCTCATAGAGTCCTCCTGCTTCAGTCTTAGTCATTGAATTCTCTGAGATTAAAAAAGAAAAGTTCTACTACCTATTGTTTCCATTCGTTGTTCAGTGCTGTGCCCGGATGAGGCATGGCCAGCGCTGACCCTGTGGCCGTGCCGTTGGCCATACACTGCTATTCTTTTGTGCTCTACAGAACAGGTACATCCCCTAAAACTTTTCCGCAATGTGAGTTCACTGCGGTAAGCAAATCCTGCATCATAGTGGCCAAGAACTCAGGGTCTCTTCCCAGTCGGCCTCTTTCCTGGCCCCTCCAGCTTCGATGGTTGGGGTTCTTGGTGTAGCTTCCCACTTTCACAGTGTTGCACTGTCACCTCCACACATACACCTCATGGCTGTCACTGAGCAGAGGAGCGGGATGCTGGATGAGAGGGAACCTGAGACAGGACCTCAGAACTAGTTTTGCCGTTCCCTGGGAATGGCTCTTGTCCCAAGTACTTTTTTTTTTTTTAATAAAATTTTTTTTTAAGTGATGAGGTCTCACTGTATTGCCCAGGATGCTCTTGAACTTCTGGGCTCAAACAGTCCTCCCGCCTTGGCCTCCCTAAGTGCTGGGATTGCAGGAGTGAGCTACTGTGCCCGACCTCAAGTACTGTTGCAGAGCTCAGTTCTGAAACCCAGTTTCATCCAAGTCACATTTTCTGAAATTAGGAAATAGATCATCCCAGGGCAGATGATTTCAGAAAATCTAGCAAATACAGTAACGTGAATTCTGAAATGAGACTGGGGCTGACTCGGGGCCCTTCTAGCCCAGGGTCTGTTGGGAGCATCAGGAATGGGGGGTAAGAATGTGACGGTGATGTCACCATGGTATGACAGGGAGAGACTGTGGAGTAGAACAGGCCACCCTGTGCCCAGGCTGGGAGGCGGAGGGAAGGGGTCTGCAGACAGCCCTGGGGATATGCGTCGCTGGCTGGGATGCCCGAGGCAGGGCGTTGGGGTTTTTCTTCTGCCCTTCTGGGAGCTGGTGAGCAGATCTCTGTCTGTGTGCAGGACTCAGAGGTGCCTTCTTACGATGAGGTGCCCCTTGGGACAGGGGGACAGGCCTTGAGACGCCAGGTGGAGGCTCAGCCAGAGGAGCCATCCCTGGAGGAAGAGCCTCAATGCCCCAGCCAGCAGCCCTCAACTCACCTGAGCCACAGACCCCCGCTGTGGCCAAAGAGGGGTGAGTAGCCACTCCCAGAGCAAGAGCAGCGCTGCAGGGGAGGGTGGTGAAGGTGACCAGAGTGTTGCCCAGGCAGGGCCGGCTGGATGCAGGTACACAAACTGCCCAGCCAGGACTGGAACTTGGGTGGGGAGCTGCCGGGGTATGCGGGGGCCAAAGGGTGGGGTGACCCGTGTGGGCTCTGCCAGTGACCGTCTGCTCCTTCCCAGGCCCACCAGCCTCCTGGGACCAGGAACCAGCGACGTCGTCATCTTTCCTTTCCACCTGGTCCCAGGTGAGCAGTGCTCCTGGCCTGCAGCATCCCGTGTCTGAGCCCACTCTTTTGTGCCACACCCCCTTAAGGAGACCCCTCCCTCCCTGTGTCCAGGGCTTTGGACGTCAGAGGAGCCCCCCTGGAGTATCTCCTTTTTGCCCCAACTCTGGCCTCCAGGGAAGTCTTGCCTTCTCCCAGAGGCCATCTGTATAGCAGGCCATGCCTTGGAAGATTCTGGGGCCCATCAGTAAGTCAGAGCAGTGACTCCACCTCCAGCTGGGTGCTGGACTTTCTTGGAACTTGGGAAAATGCAGGTTCCTTCCACACCCTCCATCTGGAATGGGAGTCTTCTTGTTTTGCTTGTTTGATTTTTTTTTTTTTTTTTTTGAGTTGGAGTCTCATTCTGTTGCCCAGGCTGGAGTGCAGTGGCATGCTTATGGCCACCACAGCCTTGACCTCCTGGGCTCAGATGATCCTTCTGCCTCAGCCTTCTAAGTAGCTGGAACCAAAGGCACATGCCACCATGCCTGGCTAATTTTTCATGATTTATTGTAGAGATAAGGTTTCACCATGTTACCCAGACTGGTCTTGAACCTGTGTGCTCAGGCAGTCCTCTTACTTCGTCCTCCCAAAGTGCTAGGATGGTAGGCGTGAGGCCCCGCCCCTGGCCTGTTTGCTTTTTAAACAATAACTTTATTGGGATACAATTCATGTGCTACGTAATTCACCAATTTAAAGTGTATAGCTTTTAGTTTATTCACAGAGTTATGCGACCATCATCACCACAGTCAGTTTTAGAACATTTTCATCCCCCCCCCCAAGCACCCTGGACCCATTAGCTCTCCCTGTTTCTCCCCCAGCCCCTGGCAGACTCCTAAGCTATGTTCTGCCTCTGTGGATTGGCCTGTTCTGCCATGGTTTGCTTGTTTTCAACTGTTCCCAGGTCAGTCTAGTGCTGGACTTGGGGGCCACTGGCCAGGGGCTTCCTGAAGTCCCCAGTTTGCCCTGTCTGGGTCCCAGGGCTGGCTGGTGCGGAGGCATTGGGTGCTGTCATCTCCCTGTGGGGCATAAGCCCCAGCAGCTGAGCGCCCAGTGGGTCAGCTGCTCCATGCCTTGAATCTGCCCTTCTGCAGTGCTCTCCCAGCCCTGCAGCGGCGCGACACCATTGTCCCCAAGAGCAGTGTCAGCTGTGTCGGAAGTCAGGACTGGGGTGGGGAGGTGGACAGCAGCATCTGGAATTTGGAGTGTGGGGTGGAGGAAGGAGAGGGAGGGACAAGACTCACCACCGTGAGGAGACTGGAGAGGACGGGGTGCCCCGCCAGGCTTGGGGCAGTGGGGGCTACAGCTCCCTGGGCCAGTGGCCTCAGTCGGGGAAGTAGCTCGCCCAGGCCAGGACTGAGGGGGGCACATTCCAGCAGGCACCGGTGACCTTGGAGGACGTGGCTGTGTACCTGTCAGCGGAGGAACGGGGATGCCTGGACCCAGCTCAGCAGGACCTCAGCTGGGATGGGCCGCCGGAGCAAGAGGGTAACGGGCAGGGGAACTGTGTTCTCCCGGGAGAGGTGTGTTAAAACAGGAGCTCGTGGGCGCCAGCTCTAGGGGCGGGTTCAGACAGCCAGCACATGGTCACAGCCAGCGCCACCTGTGTCCCTTCGGCATCCCATCTGCAAGAGCATGTGGCCAGTCGCCCATGACCAGGCAGATGCCCAGAGTGACCTTGGGGTGCTGTTGTCCGCACTGGCCTTCCACACGTCGGTCCTGCCCACCTCCCTTCCCACCTGTCCTGGATCTGCAGAGCTGCTCCCCGAGGCCTGGCTGAGAGACCACGCCCTCACCTCCCCACACACACCACGCCATCAGCACCATTCCTGCCCCGTTCCTTCTGCTCTTCCTCTGCCTGTTTGTCTCTTCCTTCCACTCTTGGTGCTGCTGAAATCTTTCCTAGCTGGGCGTGGTGACTCACACCTGTAATCCCAGCATTTTGGGACACTGAAGTAAGAGGATTGCCTGAGTCCACAGGTTCAAAACCAGCCTGGGCAACATGGTGAATCCTCATCTCTACAATAAAAAAATTTGCCAGCTGTGGTGGCACACGCCTATAGTTCCAACCACTTGGAAGGCTGAGGCAGAAGGATTGCCTGAGCCCAGCAGGTCAAGGCTGCAGTGACCATGAGTGTGCCACTGTACTCCAACCTGGGCGACAGAGTGAGACTCTGACTTAGAAAAAAAAAAAAGAAGCCTTTCCTAGCAGCACATGTCAGGATTCTCCACAGAAGCAGAACCAGTGAGAGATGCACGGGCACTAACACAGGTGGGGTGCGAGGAATTGGCTCACTCGGGTGGCCTACTGGCTTGCTCATAGGAGCTAGCAAGCCTGAAGTCTGGGCAGGCTAGCAGGCTGGACACGTAGAACTTCCATTGCAGTCTTTTTTTTTTCTTTAGTGGAGTCTCACTTCGTTGCCCAGGCTAGAGAGCAGTGGCATGTTCACGGCCTCCTCAGTGTCAACCTGTTGGGCTCAGGCGATCCTTCCACCTCAGCCTTCCAAGTAGCTGGAACTAGAGGTGTGTGCTACCACACCCAACTAAATTTTTGATTTACTGTAGAGATGAGGTCTCACCAAGTTGCCCGGGCTTTTCTCAAACCTCTGGGCTCAGGCAATCCCCTCACCTCAGCCTCCCAAAGTCCTGGGATTACAGGCTTGAGCCACCGCGCCTGACCCCCTTGCAATCTTGAGGCAGAATTCCTTCGCTGGGAAACCTCCATGACTTCCTTCCTCTTTAAGGCTGAATAATATCACCGTATGCGTGTAGCACATTGTATATATCCATTCATTTGTGGAGAGACACTTGGGCTGCCTCCCTGTTTTAACTGCTGTGAAGAATGCCCCAATGAACAGGGTGTATGGATATCTCTGAAAACCCAGCCTTTGATCTCTTGGGTACAGATCCAGAAACGGGATTGCTGGGTCACGTGGCATTTAATTTTTTCAGTACCCACCATACTGTTTTTCACAGGAGATGAACCTTTTTTTTTTTTGAGTTGGAATCTTACTCTATCACCCAGCAGGGAGTGCAGTGTCACACTTATGGCTACCCCAGCGTCAACCTGCTGGGCTCATGCGATCCTTCAGCCTCAGCCTTCCAGGTAGCCAGAATTACAGGCGTGTGCTACCATGCTTGGCCAATGTTTGATTTATTGTAGAGACAAGTTCTTGCCAAGTTGCTCGGGCTGGTCTCGAGCCTGTGGGTTTAGGCATTCCACTTGCCTTGGCCTCCAAAAGTGCTGGGATTACAGGCTGAGCCACTGAGCCCGGCCTAGATAAACCACTACATTCCTGCCACCAGTGCACAGGGGTTTCAATTTTTCCACATCTTCACAAACACGTTTTCTTTCTTCTTTTGTTTTTTTTTTTGTTGTTGGTTCTTTTTTGAGTCAGAGTCTCACTCTGTCACCCAGGCTGGGATACAGTGGCATGATCATGGCTCACTACAGCCTGGACCTCCCAGGCTCAGGCAATTCTTCCACCTCAGCCTCCTGAGTAGCTGGGACTATCGGTGCATGCCATCACAGCCAGCTGATTTTTTGTAGAAATGGGGTCTCACTATGTTGCCTAGGCTGATCTCAAACTCCTGGGCTCAAGCAATTCTCCCACCTCAGCCTCCCAAAGTGCTGGGATTACAGGTGTGAGCCACTATACCTGGCTCAATTGCTCTTTTTTTTTTTTTTTGAGTTG